GAGGATATAGGAGTGGCAACAGATTTAAGAGGGAAGAGATAGTCACAAACTGAAGTGTATGAAGAGGGATAATCATGAGGAGAAATGCAGGCATATTCAGAAATCAGGAGCTCCAGGAACAGTGGGGGATAGGGCAGGGTTGAGGAAATGCTACGGAGAAGTAAGACACAGGGTTGAATAAAGGACGATAAATTAAAAGTCTTCAGATAAAATAGTTCACTACAACTAGCAACCTCAACAGTGCCAACCAGGGAAAAGTAAAACTGCATAGACATCAGATAGCTAGAAACTTCTTTATTATAAATTCTAGCAGAAGGATCAAATACACTTGGTCTTCCTCAGTTGTTTAATGTATAATAAAAGTAGTACGTTTTCTTTTGTGGAAACTCACAGAAGCCAATGTTTGTAGGGAGAAAAACAACAAATAAAATGCTCATAAACATCTAGATTATACTCTTAAAGACTACAAAATACCATATTTAGTTAGAAAGATGCTCTTACTGAGAAATCACGGTCAGTTCCAGGGGCATCTTATCAACATATATTTTGAACCTCAGGTAACAGGCTAAGGAGATGAAATGAAGTCTTTTGCTGAAAGTCACAAAGCTAATTAGTGCTCAATATGATGTTGGAACTCAGATCACTGGACTCTTCACTAATAGCCTCTCTGAATGAAACCAAGCTGCCAGCAGGTGAACTTTGAGGCAGTCATATTTTTCACCAGACTCTTCTTTTTCTTTGTCTTGGTTTTGAAAACATTAATAGAGACAGAGAGTTGCTCTGTGATGATATAAGATGGATGAAACTTACTTGCTTGCTGAATTTTTGGCTAATTCCATGACTTCCTGCCCATTATTAAAGTTATTAACCACCAGAAGTAGCTGATTGTAATAAAAGCTGAGGACTCATTTGTGAATGTGACTTTTTTTCATATTTTATCTTTTAAAGGGTTGAGTTCGTGAAGAAAAATACAAGTAAGGAACAGGTTACAAAAGCATGACTCAACGTTAAGCCCAGGGCTCAACATGAAGCCAACATAAACCAAGACTGTGAGATAAAGTCATGGTTTTGATCATTTATTTTAAGAATATTAAATGATTTATAAGCCTAGAATCATATCATTTCCACTAAAGGAACCTTTACATGCCATTTTGTAGAAAATAGTGTCTTTAAGTAATGACTGTCACCACTTTAATCTACTATATTTCTGTAGTCAGGATTTGCATCTTATTTCTCTAATAACATTTACATTTGGCTACAATAAGACAGTACATTAAAACCATGTTGCTGATAATTATTATCAGTGAAGTGGTTAACAATGTTGGTGTTTAAATGGCTATAATTACATTTCTAGGTTAACATTGCTATTAAGTTGAATAAGGAAAGCTTTTGTTTCTGTGTTACTGTTCCACATGTGGGTCTGAGAGCTCTAAAGGCCAGATGAATGAGCCTTTCATTTTAAAAAAAATTCTTGATTGTAGAGATAATAGCTCTATAGCTCTAGTAAGGAAAGTAAACCATATTTTGGAGAAATCAGCAGAAATTCATAGGCCCTTAAGCCTTTTGGAGCCAACCAATTTCAGTTGCTTTAAAATGAACAATTTTATTAAACTGCAGTAAATTTGAATTTCTTCTAAACCCCTAAGTTTGAGAGGATAATCTATTCTTATTTTAATATTGGAAAGGAAGAATAAGCAATCATTTTAACCATATCTAAGAGTGTTAGAATAGAATGAAGGTGCTGGTATTTGCTGTGTTCCCTCTGAAAGGTATAAAGATGAGAGATGATTGCTGGTGAGTCACCGTTCTATTTCATCTAGAGACCTGAGTGCTCTCACTGCTCTATTCCCTTAGGGGGTCATGTTCCTCTGCTTAAAAGAATATTGCCTGCTCTCTGAGCTAATGATTTGTTTGGAGGATGGAAGTCTCAGAGGTGAAGATAACTGCACAGCTTTTAAAATGTATCTTTCAGATCTTTGATCTGCTTTTTTTCTGAATACATGGGACCCTTCAATGGCAAGATTAAAGATGCCTCTTCTTAGAAGAAAGGCAAAAGTTGAAAACTTAAAAGCTGCTCAGATTTCCAAATAATATTTTTGTATTTTTTCATTTTGTTGACATCATGTTGGATGAGTGTCGTCCTTCATTCATGTGATAATCGGATGGTAATCAAAATGCAGTGTTGGATCACAAGATTTTCAAGAAGATGGGGAAACTATGAATTTTGTTTTAAACAGTAGTTAATGCAAACCAGCTTATGATTAGGGCATACATACATACTCGTTTTGAATTCTATTTAATTCAATAAATATTTACTTGGTACCTAGTAGATGTCAAACATCGTGTCTTCTTTTGTAGGGAATACCAAGAGCCAGGACCTGTTTTCAAGAGACTTTCACCCTTAATCAGACAGTTAAGGCGATTACAGAAATGGCTGTGGTAGGATATAGAATATGCCAAATGCAAAGTGGGTGGAAAGAAATGAACGACATTCAATGGGGGACCGAGAAGAGATCACATTCAAGTGGGAGGGCATCATGGAAGGTTTCAGCATTTGAGAATGACCTTGCAAAATGAGCAAGATTTTCCTGGTTGGGGCTAGAGCTGAAAGTCAGTGATAATAAGGTATGTGGTGTGTCAGGGGTCAGGGGAGTGGCAGAGGGCAGGGAAGGGAGGTGGTCAGAAAAGGTTGAGAAGCTTATATTTAATGAAGAGGCTGTGGAGAGCCGAGGAAGATTTTTGAGCAGAGCAGAGATAGTCTTAAGGGTTAGGGATCAAGAAGTATTTCTGAAGCACTTTAAGGCAGAATTTAGTGTCTTTTGAACTAAAAAAAAACATGTCTATGTAAACAAATGTGTTTGAAAATATCCTACAGGTTATATTTCAAAAAAGAATGGCTACCCCTAAAAATGTCAAACATGCCAGTAGTATGAGAATTAATTTCTCACTTATACTTGGATCCCAAAGGTTCCGTGTTGTTTTTTTTTTGTTTTTTGTTTTTTTTTTTTTTTTTGACGGAGTTTTGCTCTTGTTTCTCAGGCTGGAGTGCAATGGCTCAATCTCGGGCTCACCGCAACCTCCGCCTCCTGGGTTTCAGGCAATTCTCCTGCCTCAGCCTCCTGAGTAGCTGGGATTACAGGCACGTGCCACCATGACCAGCTAATTTTTTGTATTTTTAGTAGAGATGGGGTTTCACCATATTAACCAGGATGGTCTCGATCTCTTGATCTCGTGATCCACCTGCCTTGGCCTCCCAAAGTGCTGGGATTACAGGGTTGAGCCACCGCGCCCGGCCTATTTTTCAGTTTTATAATGTTGTGGCTCATCCATTCATATATTTCTAATCTAGGCAAAATAAATCAGCAAGGGAGTGTTTTATTTTATAGCATTCTGAAAAACTTAATCTGCCTCCCTCTACCATACAAATAGCTGAGTTTTCAATGTCTGAATAATATTTTGATATGCTTTTGTTCTGCTCCTAAGTCCTGTTGGAAAAAAAATATGACCACATGAAAACAGGGAAATAAAACATACAAAGTATAGAAAAATAAATAATTTGACAGAATAAAGAAAAGCAAAAGAGACTTTTTTAAAAGCAAAATTCAGGATTGCCTCAATAGACATAGATCTGATCAGAAGATACTTTTTCAGGAATTTTTTTTCATAATTACCATTGAGATGGCTGAAGTTTATCCAAAATAAATCTGAAAATGTGAGTAGCTTCACTTATCTTCTACTAAACCTTTGTCAGAATAAGTCATCTAATATGGGTCATGTTTCCTATGTTTTATGCTTCTTCTGCCCATTCTGGGCAGAAAATATGAGAATCTGAAGGATACATAACTCAAAATTACAGAACTCTCAAACACGTGATGACAAGACAGCATGCTGAACTAAGCACAATAGGACCTTGGGGGTGTTTTAATAGACTGAAATTCAACAAGCTGCCATTTTTTAAAGGTATCATCTTGTTTTCTCTTACTATGGATGTATTTGGAAGAAGATCTTTCCTTATTTTATAACTAGAGGACAGTGAGTAGTTAAGTAATATTCTACCCACCTAAAAAAGTTAACAAAACTCATTTGTACTTGATTTGCTAGTTTTTACAATGTATTATATGGAGAAAATAAATACTAAAATAGATTGTTGTTTCATCTAAATGACCAACAGGGAACACAAAGAGCTCAAATCAAATAGAAGACACGTCTTTACATTACAAAAGATTTGCCTTATGATTCCATTTGAGTTAGGTCAAAAATATTTAAAATATTTTTACTTTAAAAAGTTTGATTTTCAAGCAAATAAAATAAACCCTAAAGTCTGTCATAGGCAGTATTGCTTTTATTTTATTTGTTTTGATTTTTAAGATATCCCATTCTAAAGTTCTTAACTGGGGACCAGAGCCAAGCCTAGTTGACACATAATACTGACCCCTGAATCCCTTCTAGTTATTTGTTTTTAATGCACTATTTTAAATAGAATTCTTCATATAAAGAAGGATGTAGGAAAAAAAGTAGATTTGAGAAAGATTAATACCAACTATTTTCTAAATTAATATTCAAAGTCAAACTGATAAAAAATTGGAAAATTATCATCAGTGAAGTATGAGCATAAGACAAATCGGTGCTCATCAATAGTCACTCTTTTCAGTAAGGTATAACACTGAGCATACTAAAAAACCATGGGCTCATTTCACATTTCTTATGCCTCATCGGTACATAGTGTTGACTAAGATGACTGATGAAAAAAGAAAAAACAGCATGAGAATGATGATTTATCAGGTACACCACATTATTACCACTATTTTATGCTTCTCTTAAACATCGAAGGTATAATTTAGCACAAAAATATATCCAACCTGCTTGTAGTAATGGATTCATAAAATGAAACTTACCAATCAAATTAAAATCACCAACATTTGAGTAAACCTTTCCAATGAAAGTACTTAATGATTAAGAATGATATGAAAATTAAAGTGTTCTAAAAACCAGTGCCTTACCAGTAACTGGATCAGATTCAATGTCACCTCTGCGCTCCTTCCATGAGAGCAGGGAATTGAGGCTGGTAAGATCTGCAGACTCTATGTAGTTGTTCACTGTAAGCATCATCTGATGAGCTTTTGCTATTCCATAGTGGACTTCTGTCTCGTCCATCAGAGGCATGCTCATTAGCTCTAATGCTGTGTCAAAAGCTTGCTGAAAGCATTCAGAAGCTTTCTTGTAGTGTCCCTAAAAAGGAAAGAGAAATAATTTTCTTTATTACTTTTAATGTCACCATTTCACATATTTTCTAACCTTATCCTTGCATGTCCCACACTCACACTAACCTTTCCACAGTTACACAGTTTATAGTCAAGAAGAAAAGGATGGCAAGCAGGCTGTTAGGATAAGGTTCTTTAAAAGACCTGTGATTACTCACCATTCAGTATCTTGAAATTAACTTAGTAGGAAAGTTGTATCTATTAAACTAAGTTATATCGGACTTAAGTTCTGTGGCGGCTGTCAAGATGGCTGAATAGAAACACCTCTGGTCTGCAGCTCCCAGCGAGATCAACACAGAGGCCAGTGATTTCTGCATTTCCAACTGAGGTACCTGGCTCATCCCATTGGGACTAGTTAGATGGGCACAGCCCACGGAGGACAAGCTGAAGCAGGGTGGGTGTTGCCTCACCTGGGAAGTGCAAGGGTCTGGGGAACTCCCTCCCCTAGCCAAGGGAAGCCATGAGGGACTGTGCCATAAGGAAGGGTGCATTCCAGCCCAAATACTACACTTTTCCCATGGTCTTTGCAACCTGCAAACCAAGAGATTCCCTCCAGTTCCAACAACACCAGGGCCCTGGGTGTCAAGCACAAAACAGGGAAGACACTGAGCTAGGTGCAGCAGGTTTTCTTCATACCCCAATGGCACCTGGAACATCAGTGAGAGAGAATCATTCACTGCCCTGGAAGGGCGGCTGAAGCCAGGGAGCCAAGTGGTCTAGCTCAGTGGATCCCACCCCCACAGAGCCCAGCAAGCTAAGATCTATTGGCTTGAAATTCTCCTTGCCAGCACAGCAGTCTGAAGTCTACCTGGGACACTTGAGCTTTGTTGGGGGAGGGGTGTCTGCCATTACTGAGGCTTGAGTAAGCAGTTTTCCCTTCACAGTGTAAACAAAGCTGCCAGGAAGTTCAAACCCGGCAGAGCCCACCTCAGCTCTGCAAAGCCACTGTAGCCAGACTGACTCTTTAGATTCCTCTGCTCTGGGCAGGGCATCTCTGCAAGAAAGGCAGCAGCCCCAGTCAGCGACTAATAGATAAAACTCCCATCTCCCTCTGACAGAGAACCTGGGGGAAAGGTTGGCTGCGGGCACAGCTTCATCAGACTTAAACATCCCTGCCTCCTGGCTCTGAAGACAGCAGGGGATCTCCCAGCAGAGTGCTTGGGCTCTGTGAAGGGACAGACTGCCTCCTCATGTGGGTCCCTGACCTATGTGCCTCCTGACTTGGAGACATCTCCCAGCAGGGGTTGAGAGACACCTCATACAGGAGAGCTTTGGGTGACATCTGGTGGGGGTCCTATAGCTTCTAGAGGAAGGAACAGACAGCAATCTTGTTGTTCTGCAGCCTCCGCTGGTGATACCCAGGCAAACAGGGTCTGGAGTGGGCCTCCAGCAAACTCCAGCAGACCTGCAGCAGAGGGGCCTGAATGTTAGAAGGAAAACTAACAAACAGAAAGAAATAGCATCAGTATCAACAAAAAAGATGTCCACACAAAAACTCCATCCAAAGGTCACCAACATCAAAGACCAAAGGTAGATAAATCCTCAAAGACGGGGAAAAACCAGTGCAAAAAGGCTGAAAATTTCTAAAACCAGAATGCCTCTTCTCCTCCAAAGGATCACAACTCCTTGCCAGCAAGGGAACAAAATTGGATGGAGAATCAGTTTGATGAATTGACAGAAGAAGGCTTCAGAGGGTACATAATAACAAACTCCTCTGAGCTAAAGGAGCATGTTCTAACCCAATGCAAGGAAGCTAAAAACCTTGAAAAATGGTTAGACAAATTGCTAACTAATTAACCAGTTTAGAGAAGAACGTAAATGATATGATGGAGCTGAAAAACAGCATGAGAACTTCGTGAAGCATACACAAGTATCAAGAGCCAAATTGATTAAGTGAAAGAAAGGATATCAGAGATTGGAGATCAACTTAATGAAATAAAGTATAAAGACAAGATTAGAGAAAAAAGAATGAAATGGAATGAACAAAGCCTCCAAGAAATATGGCACTATGTGAAAAGACTAAACCTACATTTGATCAGTACCTGAATGTGACTGGGAGAATGGAACCAAGTTGGAATATCCTCTTCAGGATATTATGCATGAGAACTTCCCCAACCTAGCAAGGCAGGTCAACATTCAAATTCAGGATATACAGAGAACACCACAAAGATACTCCTCAAGAAGAGCAACCCAACATACATAATCGTTAGATTCACCAAGGTTGAAAAGAAGGAAAAAATGTTAAGGTCAGCCAGAGAGAAAGGTCAGGTTACCCACAAAGGGAAGCCCAACAGCAGCTCTCTCTGCAAAAACCCTACAAGACAGAAGAGAGTGGGGCAAATATTCAACATTCTTAAGGAAAAGAATTTTCAACTCAGAATTTTATATCCAGCCAACTAAGCTACATAAGCAAAGGAGAAATAAAATCCTTTGCAGACAAGCAAATGCTGAGAGATTTTGTCACCATCAGGCCCTACTTACAAGAGCTCCTAAAGAAAGCACTAAATATGGAAGAAGAAAAAAAGCGGTACCAGGCACTGCAAAAACATACCAAATTGTAAAGACCATTGACACTATAAAGAAACTGCATCAACTAATGAGCAAAATAACCATCTAGCATCATAATGGCAAGATCAAATTCACACATAATAATATTAACCTTAAATGTAAATGAGTTAAATACCCCAATTAAAAAACATAGACTGGCAAATTGTATGAAGAGTCAAGACTCATTGGTATACTGTATTCAGGAGACGTATCTCACATGCAAAGACACACACAGGCTCAAAATAAAGGGATGGAGAAATATTTACCAAGCAAATGGAAAGCAAAGAAAAAAAAGGAAGCGGTTGCAATCCTAGTCTCTGACAAAACAGACTTTAAACCAACAATGAAAAAAGAGACAAAAAAGGGCACTACTTAAAGGTAGAAAGATCAATGTAACAAGAAGAGCTAGCTACCCTAAATTTATACACACCTAATACAGGAGCACCAAGAATCAGAAAGCCAGTTCTTAGAGACCTACAAAGAGATGTAGACTCCCACACAATAATAATGGGAGACTTTAACACTCCACTGTCAATATTAGACAGATCAACAAGACAGAAAATTAACAAGAATGTTAAGGACTTGAACTCAGCTCTGAACCAAGCAGACCTAATAGACATCTACAGAACTCTCCACATTAAATCAACAGAATATACATTCTTCTCAGCACCACATCACACTTACTCTAAAATTGACCACATAATTGGAAGTAGAACACTTCTCAACAAATGCAAAAGAATGGAAATCAGAACAAACAGTCTCTCAGACAACAGTGAAATTAAATTAGAACTCAGGATTAAGAAACTCACTCAAAATGACAAAACTACATGGAAACTGAACAACCTGCTCCTGAATTACTACTGGGTAAATAATGAAATTAAGGCAGAAATAAAGAAGTTCTTTGAAACCAATGAGAACAAAGACACAACATACCAGAATGTCTGGGACACAGCTACAACAGTGTTTAGAGGGAAATTTATAGTACTACATGCCACAGGAGAAAGTGGGAAAGATCTAAAATTGGTACTTTAACATCACAATTAAAAGAACTAGAGAAGTAAAAGCAAACAAATTCAAAAGCTAGCAGAAGATGAGAAATAACTAAGACTAGAGCAGAACTAAAGGAAATAAAAACACAAAAATAATCTTCAAAAAAATCAGTGAATCCTGGAGCTAGTTTTTAGAAAAGATGAAAAAAATAGACTGCTAGCCAGACTGATAAAGAAGAAAAGAGAAAAGAATAAAATAGACACAATAAGAAATGATAAAGGGGATATCATCACTGATCCCACAGAAATACAAACTACCATCAGCAAATATTATAAACACCTCTATGCAAATAAATTGAAAAATCTAGAATAAATGGATAAATTCCTGGACAAATATATCCTCCCAAGACTAAACCAGGAAGAAGCCAAATCCCTAAATAGACTAATAACAACTTCTGAAATTGAGGCAGTAATTAATAGTCTACCAACCAAAAAAAGCCTAGGACCAGGCAGATTAACAGCCAAATTCTACCAGAGGTACAAAGAGAAACTAGTATTATTTCTTCTGAAACTATTCCAGATAATAGAAAAAGAGGAACTCCTCCTTAACTCACTTTATAAGGCCAGCATTATCCTGATACCAAAACAGGGAAGAGACACATCAAAAAAAGAAAATTTCAGGTCAATATCCTTGATGAACATTGATGAGAAAATCCTCAATAAAATATTGGCAAACTGAATGTAGCAGCACAACAAAACGCTTATTTACCATGATCAAGTTGGCTCAATTTCTGGGATGCAAGGCTGGTTCAACATATGCAAATCAGTAAATGTAATCCATCACATAAACAGAACCAATGACAAAAACCACATGATTATCTCAACATGCAGAAAAGGCATTTGATAAAATTCAACACACCTTCATGCTAAAAACTCTCAATACACTAGGTATTGATGGAACATGTCTCAGAATAATAAGAGCTATTTCTGACAAACCCATAGCCAATATCATACTGAATGGGCAAAATCTGGAAGCATTCCCTTTGAAAACTACCACAAGACAAGGATGCCCTCTCTCACCACTCCTATTTAACATAATTTTGGAAGTTCTGACCAAAGCAATCAGGCAAGAGAAAGAAATGATGGGTATTTAAATAGGAAGAGAGGAAGTCACATTGTCTCTGTTTGCAGATGACATGATTTTATATTTAGAAAACTCCATTGTCTTAACCCAAAATCTGCTTAAGCTGATAAGCAACTTCAGCAATGTCTCACGATACAAAATCAGTGTGCAAAAATCACAAGCATTCCTATATGCCAATAATAAACAGAGAGCCAATTAATGAGTGAACTCCCATTACAATTGCTAAAAAGAGAATAAAATCCCTAGGTATACAACCTACAAGGGATGTGAAGGACCTCTTCAAGGAGA